CGCCGTCGCGCGCTTCCGGGAAAATGGCGGCGCCCATGCGTGCGCGGAAGTGGCTGCGTTGCGGACGGTTCTCCTGCTCCTCCTCGTCTCCCCGCGGCGGCCGGGCCATGCGGGCCCTCCCCCGTCTCCCGCCAGGGCGGCAGCAGCATCAGCATGGCCGAGCCGGAGGCGCTGCGGGGCAAGAGCCTGCCGGAGCTGCGCGAGATGCTGGGGCGCCAGGAGAGGCTGCTGGGCGACCGGTGGGTGAGCGTGCCGGGGCAGGAGGGTCCGCGGGCAGATCCCGGGCTGCGTCCGCACCCAATGCGGCGTCCTCTCGGAAACCTTCGCCCTGCTCTTCCTCCGGGGAGCAAAGGGTGCCCTGCCTCGGTCCATCTCCCCCGCCGTTTTGTTTGCACAACCTGTGAGGTGGGGCAGGCTGACGGAACGACCGAGCCACGGTCTCCCAGTTCTTAGTCTTGGCAACTAGGGACGGCGGCCTCCGAGTGGGACCCGGAGAGCCCCCGGAATTACAGCTCATCTCCAGACTACAGGGATCAGTTCCCCGGGGGGGGGGGCTGGGTGTCGGGGAGCCATATCCCCCTAAGCTGTGGAGTCTTGTGAGCAAAAGTCCTACTTTGTGAGCTGCTGCCATGAAAGTTGTGAGCGAGCGATTGGGCTGCTGCATAGATCAGTTTGCTCCGGAGCCCCATCCCTCCTGAGCAAAGACAAAAACGTGTGAGCCAGAGGCTGAAAAACTGTGAGCTAGCTCACACTAACTCAGTTTAGAGGGAACACTGCTCCAGACTACAGAGATCGGCTCCCCTGGAGAAAATGGCTGCTTTGGACGGTGGGCTCTGTGGCATTATTATACCCCACTGATACCTCTCCATTCCCCAAGCCTCCAGGTGGGACCTGGCAACCCCCCAGAATTACAGCTCATCTCCAGACTACAGGGATTAGTTTCCCTGGGGGGAAAATGGATGCTTGGGAGGGTGGACTGTACCCCACTGAGGCCCCTGTCCTCCCCAGGCTCCACCCCCAAATCTCCAGGAGTTCTCCCAACCTGCAGCTGGCAATCCTGCACCCGCCGTCTCCTACTAGTGGCCAAGGGGGACATGGCCACCCAACTTGACACTCTTACTTCATCTCGGTCTCAACATTATTTAGAAGTGGAAGTTCTGAAGGGGAGCGGGGGCATCCGGGGCCCCTCCCCTCCCCAACCGTGGAGCTGCCTTTAAAAGCACTTTTCCGCATTTGGATTCTAACCGGCCTCCGAGGTGCTCTGGAAGCAACAATCTCCCCCCCCCCTCAAATTTATCCTCATGACAACCCTGCTAGGTCGCTCAAGCAGAGAGGTCGACCTCTGGAGGGCTTGCATTGAGCTGCTTCACAGAGTGGGGATTGATCGGGAGATGCCTCTTTGGGTTGCGCCACAGTGTGTCCCTCGTGCCAGTGTGATAGGTTGCTGAATGTCTTTGGCGTGACCATTGTCATCCAGATCCAGCGTGTGAGATGGAAGCTCTGAAGGTCCATGGAGGAAAAAGAAAACCCTCACGCGCTGACTCACGTGCCTGATTTCAGAAGGCCACTGTAGGCCTGTTGTTGCAAAGAAGAGGCTCTACAAAGAGGTGTGGGGCGAGGTGACATGACGGACATGTTCGCCTGATGGTTGGTGGAGGGTACCTTGCAGTGGAAGGCCTTAGAGAGCAAAAGGCTCACTCGCTGCCTGGCTTATCCATTGTCCCCAGCCCACCCACCCCCTGCACTGGGCACCATCCCAGGACATGTGGATGAACCAAGTCATGGTCCCTGCTCTGCAGTGCTGGAATGCAGAACCCAGAGGGGAGTGTGGTGTGGCCCACCTTTACGGTGCACTGCCTAATCTCCCCCACCTCACCCCTGATCAGAACTTGGGGAGGGGGGAGAGCCATGTAAGCATAATACCTGGAGAGCACCTATATCTTAACTTCCAATTTAAGAACATAAGAGAAGCCAATGTTGCATCAGGCCAGTGGCCCATCCAGCCCAACACTCTGTTGTCACACAGTGGCCACAAATACCAGGGGCCATCAGGAGGTCCGGCAGTGGGGCCAGGACACTAGGAGCCCTCCCACTGTTGCCTCCCCCCAAGCACCAAGAATACAGAGCATCCCTTGCCCCAGACCGAGAGTTCCTATAAGAACATAAGAGAGAAGCCAATATTGGGTCAGGCCAATGGCCCCTCCAGTCCAACACTCTGTGTCACACAGTGGCCAGAAATTCCAGGTGCCATCAAGAGGTCCAGCAGTGGGGCCAGGAGGACACTGGAAGCCCTCCCACTGTTGCTCCCCCAAGTGGCTAATAGTCACTGATGGACCTCTGCTCCATATGTTCATCTAATTCCCTCTTGAAGCCGTCCATGCTTGTAACCGCCGCCACCTCCTGTGGCAGTGAATTCCATGTGTGAATCACTCTTTGGGTGAAGAAGGACTTCCTTTTATCCGTTCTCACCCTACCGCTCAGCAATTTCATGGAGTGCCCACGAGGAGTTCTTGCATTGTGAGAAAGGGAGAAAAGGACTTCTTTCTCTACCTGCTCTTTCCTGTGTATAATCTTATAAACCTCAA